AAACTCACGAGAGAAATAAATGTAGGCCATACAAATATTTTTCCCGGCCCGGGAATCCAATCCGGGGACCTCTGCGTGGCAGTCCGGTATGGTAACCGTTCGGCCACGGAGGCATTTAAGTACAAAACACACAACACAACATGTTAGGTACAAAACACAGGTCCGGTCTTGCGTTGAGTTGTGGGACGGCTCCGCCAAGTACCTACTCGATGCCTTGGATAAATTACAGCGTCGTGCTACTCGAATTATAGGCGACGAAGAGGTCTCATCACGCCTTGAATCTCTGCAACTGCGTAGAGATGTTGCATCGCTTAGCGCCTTTTACCGCATGTACCATGGTGAGTGCTCTGAAGAGCTGTTCAACCTCATCCCCCCTTCCCCGTTCCTGCTCAGAAGCACGCGTGCTGGCCTTCGTAGTCACCGTTTCACTACCTGCCGCATGTCTTCCCTCCCTCTTATGATATGGGGTCCTTCAAACGAGGCGTGAAGAGGCATATTGTAGGCAGGCAGGGTGGAGGTGGCTAGTGCAGTGAGGGTTTCATCGCTGCACTAGGTTCCTTCGCCTTTGGATACCACTTTCCACTTAACATCAGGTGGAGTGGAGTCATTTGCCTGTCATGTATAAAAAAAAAAAAAAAAAAAAAGGTTTTTTTCAAATACTTGACAAATAAATAAGTTGAAACGTCATTCAAAGTTTTCCGAGAAATTGTAAATAATATTGACACCCGACGATTAGTAGACGCCGTTGTCAATCCAACAGTGGGCGAAGTCAGCGCGCAAGTTTATTGACCTCGGTAGCCAAACGGTTAGCTCTGTAGGCGCTGGTGAGGAGGTCCCTTATCCCGGGACCTAACCGGGTAACTTTGGTCCAAACCAGCCAAAACGCTGAGAGAAATAAAGTAAATTATAATAATAGTGACAACCACATCAACTACTTGGACTCAAACTAGGTAAATTAAATTCCCTTAACTAGTATTCCCTTAACTACGTATTTAGGCAACGGAATTCAAGATCTTTTCCGAAATAGATCTCACCGGGAATCGAACCTTCTACTCTAGCTCCCAATGTTTACCACTGGGCTACAAAATGAGGTCGCCACATTAGATACTAGCTTTTTCTTCGGATCTGAATCGCGTATATTTGTTATTTCTAACAAACCTACGTTTTAAGCTCGGTGCAGGGTCCTATGGTCACGGTTGCCTGCAAAACAAAGATCGCTATAACTGCTCCGGCGCTGCTCGCATCCATCGGATTCCCGAAAACGTCACCAGGCCATCGGTCCACCTTGTGGGTGGTCTGCCCACGCTGCATCTTGAAGTACTCCGACTTTTTGTTGGCTTTGTATTTATTGTGTGTGGAACAAAAACCTTCTTCAAGGCTGCCACGGTGAAGACCAGCAATGGGCCAGCGTGGAGGACTACAGCCTAAATCCTCGCCTGAGGGGAGATCCGTGCCCAGCAGTGGGACGTATAAATGGGTTGATGATGTAACAAAATCTTTAAGCAAACATAAAACTTCAACAAAACAGAACCAAAGTGCGTTACCAACGAATTGTAATACAAACTTAAGTCTGCAAATACTGACACCAATGCATGTCGCGTTTAGGCACTCAAATTACATTTCATTTAGGGAGTTACCACACTTGGCGACTCGGAACTGCATTAACCGGGTGATAAAAAGCAATAAGAGCGAAAGGACCGGACCCGGATCGCCGACGTTGAAACGCGTAACGACTGTTTCTGGCTGGCTTATGCCGATTCCGGTTTAATAAGTGTGGAAACTCGCTTTGACAATTTCTAACTCGCAAAGTGCAATCTTATTGCTAAATACGATTCGTTCACTTTCAACTTTACTACTTTGGAATCGTGCAAGGTAAGTTCTAGCTGCCCACTTGTATAATCGAGACTGACCATCTTGTCATCTTTTCATTAGCCCAGTTTAAACTTTCCTAAAGAACCTTTTAAAATAGGCGCCATCTTCAGCTCAAGAAAGTCAAAGTCAAATAATCATTTATTCGATAGGTAACATTTTTACACTTCAAAACTTCATTTTTCTCCACTACGCTGATTTCCCTGAGAAGAACGAGCAAGAAACTCTAGGGATTGCTTTTTTCAAATAAACTTAAATGCTATGGAATACACTTTGAATTGTAATTGTGAGGAATCAAGACTCATGTTGTCTTTCCATACATCTTTATTTAACAAATACTCTTTAATTTTGTAAGATGACCTTTCATTTATAGAAGTATTATATAATGATGTAAGTTTTAAACTTAGGAAATGGTAATATTAGTATATGCTCCGGAATCTTATTGTAAAAACATATACAGTTTACCTAAGTTAAACGAAATCGTGGTATCATGAGTTTGGATTTAGTTCTAAGGTATATATTATGGATATGTTCTTTCTTAATAAAATTATGTATATTTTTACGCACATACAAATTCGTTGTAACTCGACCTGTAGCTTAGTTGGTAAAGCAATGAGGACGGAATCCCGTGGTAGCAGGTTCGAATCCTGTCTGGTCGAAGGATATTTCTTTGTGTATCTTTGTATATTATAATTTATTATTCTTGTACAAAAAATATGTTTGACTAATCATTATGCTGTAATCACCGATATTGATGCCTAATAATAATATAAACAATTTTACTTACTTTAGGTATCACCTAAATTAACTTGCACTACTAACCTTAATTAAACTTGTGTAAACATACAATAATTTCACTAAGGGTAAAGGTTATTTAATAAGATTCATGTATTTAGGTTAAATTTGTCTTAATCTTTACTTGAAATGTAACACCTGTTGCATTCTATCTGCC